AAATATATGACAATTGATGAACAATTTGCATCATTTCGTGTCTGTTGAAGCTTCCTGCAATATACAAGTAAACCTTGTAAATATGGTACAAAAATATGCCTTGGTAGATGCAAAGACATTGTACATCTTGAATTTAGTATCCTGGAACTCAACCACCAGGTCTTTCTTCATACAGTAATAAACTGAATCACTTTGTGAACAGACTTGTTCCACCTATTTCAAAAAGTAACCCAAATGTCACATTTGACAATTGGTTCACTAGTTACCCATTGATGTTACATTTGCTAAAAGAACACCAGTTGAACTATTCACCAGAACTACTCCCACAGGAACTATTCAAAAGAACAAAATGGAGATTCGTGAAAAAAATATTGCAAGTTCACAATAGAGAAATGTATAGTGTAATCTTTGAGTGTCAGAAAGACATAACAGTGCCCTCCTATATGGCAAAGAAAAACAAAGTAGTATTGATACCGTCAATATTACACCATGATGATAAGATTATTAGACACCTGGTGTGGTGGTGCACACCTGTAATCCCAGTACATAGGAGGCTGAGCCAGGAGGATCCTGTGAGTTCAAGATCAGCCTGTGCTACATTGTGAGTTTAAGACTAGCCTGGACTACATAGCAAGATCTTGTCTCAAAACAAACAAAAAAAGACTGATAGTGAATCCTCAATACAGAGGAAGCCAGAAATGGTCACATTTTACAACAAAAGGAAAGACAGAGTACATATTGTTGACAAGTTATGTAACAACTATGATGTCACACAAAATACAAAGCATTGGCCAAAGGTTGTGCTTTACTCAATCCTAAACATGTGAGGCATAAATAGTTTCATAATTTACAAAGAAACTTACAAGCACAAAATATCACAGAGAAATTTTCTTAGAGGTTTGGGACTGGAATTGATAAATGATAAATTACAACAGAGGAAGAACAATATGTATTTGCCCAAAGAACCCCTCAAAAGAATTCTGGAGCAGATCAGTGAACAGACAGGAGAAACATCACAAGAACCTCCTAAGAAAGCAGGAAGGCCAGCAAGATATCAAGTGTGTCCTACCAAAGAAGACAGGAAAACACATGCACTATCAGTGTAAACCAGACTTGTGTATGGAACATGATGTTCTCATGTGTGAAAGTTCTCTTAGGTGTGATAATTGAAAAAGATTATTTTTGTGGTAGAGTTTTATTTGTATTTTCATTGTACTTCATATAAGAATTATTTCTGCTATTTTTTAGATTTAGTAAGCAAACAAGCAGTTGATATAGAAAATGTTGATGTTTATTCTAAACAATTGTTACATATTTGATATTTTATTTTATTAATATTTAGTTTTCTTGCAAAGTAGACATGGTATAATATAATAAGAAGCTCCTGACAAAAAAGGAAGACAAGAAAGATGACAAGTATGGCCTGCTACACAGGAAAGGAAAGCTAAGCACATGTGCTGTTGCTGTGAGCGAGACTTGTATATGGAACATGCTATTGTCGTGTGTGGAAGCTGCCTTAGGTATGGTAATTGAAGCAAAGGTTATTATTTATTTGTATTTTCATTATAGTTCACATAGGAATTTATTTCTACTGTTATTTTTTAGATCTTGTAAGCAGGTAAACAGTTGATGTTGACAATGTTGATGTTTATTCTATACACTCACTATATATTAAAAAGTTAATATTTTATTGATATTTTATTTTCCTGTTAAGTACACATTGTTTAATATAATAAAACTCATTATGCATATTCCACAACTTGTTTATCTAAGAATAAATGGTTTTAAGGGTTCCTGAAATCTTCTAAAAAGCTATGTATAATAAAATTTATGAAATTAAAATTAATAATTAATTAATAGAAATACTCCTAAAAAATAAACATGGGTGTCACACACCCACATAATGCGCCTTTTCTAAAAATTTGCTGTGATGCCCCCAGGGAGCATTGTGGTGTTAAGATTCTTGGGTCATTTCCACTGTGTGCCCAGGTTGTGCTGTCGTGAAAACTCTCACACATAGCGTTTGGTGCCTATTTACATATACTATTACTGGGTATTTAACTACAAGTGGAGATTCTGGGCCATATACTCCTCTTCAGTAAATATTACAAAACAGATTTCCAAAGTGGTTATAACAATCTACACTCCCACAAGTGGTGTAAAATAGTTCTAATTGCATCATCTTTTCATTAACACATAATGTTGATCTTTGCACTGTGAGACTTGGTAATATTTTATTATTTTTAAACTTAGCTTCTTGAGGACTAATGAGCCTGAACATTTTCTATGTGGTTACTGCCCATTCAGATATCTAATTTTGCAAAGTGCCTGTTCAAATCTTTTGCTCATTTTTAAATTGATTTTGCTTATTTTTACTTGCTGATTTAAAGGAATTATTTATACATTCTGGATATGAGTCCTTTACTTATATTTGTGATTGCATATATTGCAAATATTTCATCTGCCCTGTGACTTCAGTTTGTACTTTCTTAGGTGTGAAAACAAAAATTATTAATTTTACATAGTCACTTTTATCAGTATTTTTCTCTAGCTTAATGTTATTTATATCCTTCTTTAAAATCTGATTAAATTAAGATACTGTGTTTTTCTTAATCTTTTACAGGTTTAATTTTTTGTTCTTTTACATTGAGAACTAAAATCCTTCTAAAATTTACTTCTGTATATGGCATAAGGCACAATGTAAATTTCATTTTTTCTAATATTGCTATTAAATTCAGCTGATACATTTAATAAAAATATTATCCTTACTTCTCTTCAGTACAGTATCACCTTTTTAATAAACCAAGTAATTCTATTTATGTGAGCCTATTCATATGCTCTTTATCCAGTTCCTGCATATATTACATTTTCTTAATTAGTGTAGCTTTATAGTAAATCACAATGTCTAGCAATTTAAATTCTCCCATCATCTTTGTTCTTTAATTTCCATTACAATGATTTGCATGTTTTCTGTGTAAAAATAGTACATATTTTTGTTAAATTTATTTCTCAGTGTTTGATATTTTATAAAGGTGCAAGTGATATTTTTGTAATTTTTATAATCTCTGTTGGTTGCACATAGAAATATAATTACTTTTTGCATAGTTAACTATGTGTTTAATTTGCTATGCCTACTTATTAATAATATTTGATTCATATAAATCATTTCAAGCTTCTATGCTCACTATTATGCCATCAATGAATAATGATGGTTTTATTTCTTTATTTCAATTATGATTCCTCTTTCTTATTGCACAGGCTACGACTTCTATTATGGTGTTGATAGAATGAATAACAGTAATAAATGAATATCCTTGTCTCATTCCTGGTCTCAAAAAAAAAACAATAAATGCTGGTAAAGATGGTGGGGGATGCTTTTATATTATTGGAGAGAATTGAAAATGTAAACTTGTACAGCCATTATAAATATCAGCCAGGACGTTTCTCAAAAAACTAAATCTTGAGCTAGCATCTGATCTAGCTGTACCACTCCTTGGTATACACCCAAAAGAATTAGGTAGTGTACTATAGGGATATCTGCACATTTGTGTTTATTGTGACATAGTTCACAGTAACCAAGATATGGAACCAATCTAGGTGCCCACCAACAGATGAAGGATGGAGATAATGCGGTATATAGCGAATGTGTGTGTATCCACAATGGAGTATTATTCAGCCATAAAGAAGAATGAAATTTTGTCATTTGCAAGAAAATGGATGGAATGGGAGATCATCATAACCCAAACTCAGGAAGACAAATATCACATGTTCTTCCTAATATGTAGGATCTAACAAAGGTGACATAAAAGTAAAACGGAGACTATTATTAGACAACAGGAAGAACATAAAAGGGAGGAGGTATAAGAGAGGGTGATGGATGATGGCTGTGACTAAATATATGCACTGAAACTCCAATATTTTATAAAAACTAATAGGCACTAAGAAGAAATATTTCAGGTTTAGGAGCAATTTAGATTTGGATTTTTAGATTAGGGATGTTTGACTGGTAAAATCTATGCAAATATTTCAAAATTTGAAAAGCTTAAAAATCTAAAATACTTCTGGTCCCAAACATTTCAGATAAAGAATCCTTGACCTTTATTAATAAGCATATGGGGGTGCCTGAAACAGAAAGATCAACAGTGGAGGTGGATGCAGGACTCCAGGAGGCTGAGACAGCAGCATTACAGGTTTGAGCCCAATCTGGGCAACTTAGCAATTTAGTAAGACCCTGTCTCAAAAAATAAAAATAATAATAAAATAAAGGGCTGTGGATGTATCTCAGTGCAAAGGCCCTGAGTTCAACCCCCAGTACCATACCAAAAAGATAAAAACAAAATTAAAAAAGGAATGGAAGTAGTTGTATATATGAAAAAAAATGAGTTTCAAGAAGGCAGGTAATGGGGAATGAGTGGAAGGACCCGGCAAAAATCACCATACTCCTTTGACATAGTACTGGTGGAAATGTTAAAGGGTTGACTATGTGGATGACAGGCAGAACTTGTAGCTTATCTTTATTATTTGTGTGTGAGTGTCTTTGTGTGTGTGAGAGAGACAGAGAGAGATAGTATGTGTGCGTGTGTGTGTGTGTGTGTGTGTGTATGTGTGTAGCAACGGGGATCAAATCCAGGGCCTCATGCATGCTAGGCAAGTCCTACTACCACTGAGCTACATGCTCTGTTCTGAAAAATTTTTGAGCTTTCTTCCATCTTTCTGCATCCTCCTTACATCACTTCCCAGCACCTGCAGCACAAGCAAACACCAAAGGAAATGGGGAAGGGGAAGTGAAGGGTTTCGGGAAGAAGGAGATGACTTGTAAACTTCATGGCTAGCGCACAAGCTAGCAATGGAATATCCAGCCTTCTTGGGAACCCTAACCTCTCTGCTAGGAATGAAGGGCAGAAATAGGCAGCTGCCACGGAGGGAAGCACAGCACCATGCAGAACAGCAGACCAAGATGGCCAGCCTAGCACTCTTGGGCCAGACTTCACCTCACTTACCTTTTCCTGTAGCCTAATGTTATCCCACACCTTGCTGCACACCATACACTCAAACACATCAATGTAATTGTCCTGGTTGATGTCTTGCACTCCCCATTTCCGTTCCCTGAGAGTTGTCAGAAGTCGCTGGTTAGAGATCTCACCCTTCAGCTTCCATTCTACGTAGGCCTCGTACAATCTGTCATCATAGTCCAATCGTTTAATGTAACTTGCCAGTTCTCTGGGGTGAGAGAATTCTGATACAAGAATAGCACTTCTGTTACTTGGAAGCCAATCTATGATGCTGGGGGACCCATAATACACAGGGACTACCCCAAGTTTCAGTGGTCTCCAGAACTTCTCCGTGATGTAGTCATCACAAACTGCATTCTCAAAAGCAAGGATAAACTTATATTGGGCTATGATCCTATAAAAGCCATCAGCATCCATAGAAGCTGGATTGTTCAGCTGCTGAGGGAGATCTTTATTTCTTAAACACTCACCATAGGAATCAACCTCGATGTAAGTCATTAGCTCACGGACATAGCTGTCCCTGTCTGACGGCGGGTCACAGTCTGACTGTACATACACCAGTGGAGCAAGTCTTCTTCTTAGGTTGTTTTTGGAGGACAAAGGAACTACATATTGGAGTGACTTCAGGGCATCTATGCCCTCCAGGTACTGGGTAGTTAGTGGCAAGTGGGAATGCCTGCTGAAAGTGGCTGTGTAGTTGAACAAGGTGATGACTGGCTTATGAAAGAGCTTATAATTGTTTTTTGGAGACTCTTCATGGAAAAGGGCCCAGTCATGATGGGCTTTCCGAGGCAGAGGTAAGCTATCTACGTTAAAGTCGGTACCTGAGGAAAAAAAAAAATTATTAGTTACGTCCAAAAGATTGGTGTCTAAGTTTAAGATTAGAATAGAGAAGTTTGAGAGCATCGCAGTGTCACTGCAAAGTGGCTGGCAGCCGATAGTTGGCTTTCATCCTAAAACCTGCTCCAGGAGAGGTTCACCAAGTAGGAAGGCAATCTTTCTCATTTTATGAAAAAGGAAACAGGAGCAGTATCTGGCTAGATTCTATTTATTCCAGTTTATTCCACTGCCTCTTACAATTGGTTTTTCATCCTGCAGATGTTGTCTACAAGGGAGCAGGGAAATAAAGAGATCCAGATAGAGTCCTTTAAAAAGAAAATAGCAAGAGAGAAGAGGAAGCCAAAAAGAAAAAAGCAACTGAGTTGGCAGATTGATTAATTGGGGGCGGGGACAACACTCATGCAAAAGCAGCCAGAAAAAACATACAGGATAGATTTTTTTTAATCCGAAATGATCGATTTCCTCAAAGTGCAGTTAATCAATCTTAGTCAAAATGGTAGACAAGAGGCTTTTAAGGACAAAAGAGCTGGTAATAGCACTATGTTACAGACTGCTGCAGGATGGACATGAATTAACAAGACATCAAGAAATAAAGAGGTATAACACGACTGTAATTAGGAGTGATTCTAGCTTCCACAGGATTAATTGGAAAACCTTTGAAACATGATAATGTACAGACAGAAGTGATGGATGTGGTAAGCCATTGTTTCCTGGCTGCGTGGGTGGAGATCCACTCAGGAAGAACCTATTTCTATGACTGGAAGGGAAGAATTAAGACATTATCACAATAGGTAACATGGAATTTCTGAATGTCCCTGATCATGATTGTGTGGACAATAATCTGAATTTTTAAAAAACAAATAAAAGGGAATAGGAAAAAGTCCATCTCCAAGCATCCACAGAGGAGGGAAAAAGCAAATAAATACTTAAAGCAGAATAAAACATATTCTCCAGGAGAGCTCATAAAAATTAATTATTCAATGGCAGTGCACACAAATATATTTGGTGCCAACAATACGTTACTGAGAAATCATTTAATCAAAAGAGGCTTTTAAACAATTAAAGATCAGGTAAGATTATATCAGAGTACCTGTACTACTGAGCATAGAGAAACTGCTTAAAAAAAATCACCTCTGTCTCCATAGTATGTTTTCATTCTCAGTCATCAGCAATGAATAATTAACATGTAAAAATGAATACATACATGTTTATTTGGCATCTGCTATATTTGACATTTAGCATCAAAAAGAATACTCATTCACACCCTGAATTGTAATAGCATATAAAGCTGCTGGTTGGCAAAAGAAAGGAATCATTAAGTTAAAAAAAAAAAAAAAAAAAGGGAAGACAGAGAATTTGAGAAGGGCAATTCATCGCATTGAAGTAGTTGCTGCTCAGAAGGGTCTGACTTGGTCAATGGTCAATGATGGGAACTGAAACCCATAAAATGGAGTTAGAACATAAAGTTTCACCTATAATATAACAGAGAATCAAGGCCGTTTACCTAAGAGAGAAACTGCTAGAGTCCAATGCATAGGAATCAAGAGGTTGAGATGAAGTTGTAAAATTAGAGACTGAGGGGAATACATGCACCATGGTACACAGTTGTAATCCCAGCTACTAGGGAGGATACAGCAGGAGGATTGCCAAGTTTGAGCCTGGGGAACTTAGCAAGATCCTGTCTTAAAATAAAATTTAAAAGGGCTAGAGGTATAGCTGCTTGCCTAACAAGGCCCTTGGTTCAATCCCTAGTACTGGAAAACAAAACAAAAAAGCAAAACAAAACAAAATCAAAGGAGGTCTAGAATTAACTACAAGGACCAGGTACAGAGGTTTTGATAAAGTGGCCTCAACATCAGTGGCTGTCTGCTAAATGCCAGGGGGCACATGAGTGACTCTGGATCTGGCTCACTGTGGGTACACTACAGTAGGGCCCCAAAATGCGGAGCACAGAAGCACTGGTTTACAGGTGCAAAGCCTGCTCTAGTGCTTCAGAGAATGGAGAAGGCTAAGTTCCGTCTCTGGTGTATATCTGTAAAGTACACAGCTAAAAACAACAGAGTGTCTGCACTCTTTTGTGGCCACTATGGAGGTCCATTCAGGTTGTGTTGTAATAGCAATAGGACTTGAACCTGACCCCAATTATAATAAGCCTGTCATTCATGATACCTAGAAGATGCATGTTTACAGGTTCACTATATAGCCGAGCTGCTACTGGAATCTCCATGTTGGAAGGAAGGAGAGAAAAGGATAAAGATAGGATTCCTTGCACATGTAATCTCTAGTATGAAAAGAAGAACCCTGCAAAATCTAAGCAAGGGCTATTTATAGTCAGGTATTAAGAAGCAATACAGCTTCAAACTAGGCAGGGTAGTGGATGCCTGGAATCGCACCATCCAGGAGGCTGAGCCAGGAAGATTGCAATGAGTTTGAGGCCAGTGTGGGCTCTGAGTTTGAGGCTAGTCTGAACTACATAGTGAGACCCTGTCTCAAAAAATAAAAGAAGGAGGGGGAGGGGAGGAGGAGGAAAGGGAAGGGGAATGCGAAGAAGGAGGAAAAAGAGGAGCACCAACATACTTTCTTAAAGTGTGAAGTTCTTGTACACCCATCAAAATTCATTGAGTTTGCAAGGGCAGGGCTATTTTCAATAGTGGGAGATCCCTCTTTAGTAGAGAGGAAAGTTCAAGGAGCCTAGCTTTCTAGAAACACTTCCTACATTTGCTGTTCTAAAAAGCATTTCCTAGAAACTTCCAAGATGCACACAAAATACTACCTGCCCCTACCCCTTGCATACTCACTACTGAATTAATACATTTTCTATTTTAGTCTCCCAAACTAAAATTCTCTGAAGATTAAAAAAGTGATTTTGTCTTGTAGCTTCTCCCCTAGGCCTAGAAGTCAGATGGAAAACAGGAGGAAATAGTCAACTTGGAACCATGACAGACCTAAACTGCGGTACTGGGGCTGCCCTCGCCCACAACGCAAGTGTCAGTGTCAGGCAGCTTCTTAAAGGTGTTGGCTGTGGCTCAGGAAACAACTCAGTGACTTCGCTTCCCTCGACGCCAGGGGAATGATCACTACAACAAAAGTTGGAACTGAGGTTTTTAAAGAAATAGAAAGCAATCAACCTGTGGTAAATCCATAAAAACGTGACTAATTTGTGTGTGGTTGGTTCATTAGTTTGTGCAGTCATCTTCCCTGTGTCTTACGCTTAACAACTTTAAGTCAAACTTGCATTTCTCTGGGTTACTTCATGTTTACTGAAGGCTGACAAATCTATTTGCTTCTTTAAAAAGCAGCTGACAAATAGAACTTTAGCACTAAAATACACGGTAAGGGGAACTGCAGCTTGGAATACAAATGGAATAAAATTAATACTGGCAAATGACACCAGACTGCTGATGACAGAGGCTGAATTTGAAATAGCAATAGGCAGAGGAGGAACATACTTTACAGGATGTGTTGTGTGCCCCTCTCCTGCAGGGGCACATACACATCTTCCATTATTCCCACACAAACCAGGGAAACCCGAAGGCAACACATACCACTCATTCCACTTTCCGGACAAAGGTTGGATCACTTATTTAAAGCTGAAAACTACAGAAGGGGACCAGAGCTTCAGACTGACTCATGGGAAAGAACTAGAGAGGTCCTTGCCCCTGCTATGATCCAGATTCTGCTGAATGAATGGATCACTCCTGTACTTTCAAGGACACTCACAAAAATGCCAGCCAGCTTCAGCACAGTAATGATGCGGAGGGCCGGGGATCTGTCTCAGTGGTTTTGCCGCCTGCCTCACAAGCGGAAGGACCCGAGTTCGATGCCCGGTACCAAAAAAAAGAAAGAAAGTAATGATGCAGAAACACTGTTCTGCTCAGGAAGACAGAATGCCTCCCTTGGTTTGGAAAAGAGAAGTGCTTCCCCAAAATGTCTCCAAAGGTAATTTCTATTTTAAAAGAGAAACTTTATTATGAAACTATGTGACCTAAAAAAATATGATCCTACCAAAAATACCTCCAACAAAAGTTAAAATTTTTGAGAAGAAGCAATGTAGACCAGAGCACTGCCTTCTATAGCATCACCTAGCGACTGCAGAATTCACTGTTACTTTTATTATCCACACAACTCCATCAGGTCATTTATTTCCCTCTAAGTTCATATAAGTGAACTAAAAATTTGGAAGAATTGTGCTGGTAATAGGGAAAGACTCCTTTCACCTGAAGATAAATTCCAAACCAAGAAACTAGCCACACTTAACTTTGCAGGCATCCAGATCTACCCAGTTCAGAGGAACAGGCTGTAACTTAGAGAGCTCTCCAACTAACTCCTGGGCCCATTGTCTTCCCTCTTTTCCCATTATTTTTCTTCAAGAGTCCTCTGCTTACCTCTTAATCAATTCTACACCATGCATCCTTCTCTCAACTATACAAGTTCATCAAGCATGTCTATTTTACCCCTAGGCATGGAAATTTCTCATGTGCCCTCATTAAGCCCACGCTGTGGGCCAGTCAATACCTCTGAAGTCCCCTTCCTAACATGTGCAGGGCCTGAAGCAAGAGTACAAATAGAAGCCTGCATATCACATACCTAAAAGCTATAAATCAATCTAACAAGTTGTTAAATGTTTTCTCCTTCCACCCTTGCATTTAATACAGTTGTGATTAAAAGTGCTCGTGTGTGTAAAGCCACAGTCCAAGCTGAATAACTGTAACATGTTAAAAATTAATATCATTTTTGCCAAAGATGATGATTCTCTTTGGGGCTTGGCATGGGCTTGCTAGCTCACCCTCACGCAGCCCCTCGAACCTTCCCTTCCGTCACCCAGGTCCACCACAGGGTAACCATCCACTTTCTCCTTTCCCCAAGGCCCAGGTGGCCCAGGTGCCCCAGGTTCCCCCACCGCACTGCCTCTGAGGTTCTCCCTCTGCTAGACTCTCCACAGACCACCTCTGCCTCATCCCTGCTGGCACCAGTGTTTCAAATT